TTTGGTTGCCCTTATGCCAAGGCGTGCTGGAGTTTCATTGGTATCAACTGGGATGAGGATCTGGATTTTTTCCAGATGATCTAAACAACTTATATTATCTTTAACAAGCCGTTCTTTGTCGAAGTGGTGGGCACGACCTGCTGGCAGATATGGACAAAAAGAAATGTGCTCATCTTTGACAATATTCATTCATCTTTAAAAGATTGAAAGTATGCTTTCAGAGAGGATTTCACTCTTCTTATGCAAAGAGTGAAGGAGGAGGATAAATATTCCTATCAATCATGGATAGACTCTATTTACTAGATCTTCTGTAAATTCTTTTAATATATCTAATATCTAACACAGTAGGAGCCTCTCCTACTGTTTTCCTGTCAAAAAAAAAAACACTCCCGGGTGAAATGCTACAATGGTATATCCACACGCTTGCGGATTACTTCTGTAACCATAAATATAGCAGGACTATTTCTACGACATTATTGGGAATGAATATTTCTAGTAATGTCGTTAAGAAATACCAACAATACTTATGGTATATTATGGTTACAAATCATATCCGCAAGCGCACGGATATATCATGGCAAAATTTACTACAGGGCACTCAAAAATTGTGTAATTAGCTGGGGTCACCCGAAAGACGTGAATTTGCCTAAGGACACTCTAAAAGTGTGGAAATGTGCTGCAGGACACTGGGCGCATTAAAATATAATATCCACTGAATTGATGAGAGAGAAACCATGTAAAATGACAGTTTTGCCCCTTCTCTTCTTCCCTTTCTGCTTGGCACTTCCATCGATTGATCCATCGCCATTGCAGGTGTTGGAGACCTGGTGGTGGTCGGCGTCGCCGCCTGGTACAAGGAATTGTCCGTGCTTGAAGTGCGGTTGCGGGATGAAGAAGTGCCCCTCCGGTGGCATCGGCCTCACGTCGGCGGATCTCTCCGGTGGCGGTGGGTCGGGCTAGCGGCTGAGCTCGCCGGGGAGGTGGCGGTGGCATGAGATGAGGAGGTGGGCGGGCGCTTCTGCGGGGTAGACGTCGCCTGTGCCCCATCCGCGCCGCTCGGCCCGTGGCCTAGCGGTCGGTGAGCCTGGCGGCAACGGCTTCGACGACAGCGGTGGCGGTGGAGCTAGGCTACGGCGGTGACTTCGACTATGGTCGACAAGCCTAGCAAGTGGCTTCAACGATGGCAGTGGCAGCAGCGAGCGACGGCGGTGACTTCGACAATGGTCGATGAGCCCGGCGGTGGTGGCCTCGATGGCAGTTGCGACGGAGGCAACAACGAGAAACGATGGTGACTTCGACGACGGTTGATGAGCCCAGCAACAGCGGCTGCGATGGCAGCGGTGCCGATGGAGGTGGCTACGGCCAGGCAGCAGCGAGCAACAGCGGCAGCGTCGACGACGGTCGGTGAGCGCGGTGGCAGCAGCTTCGACGGCGGCAGATGGCGAGCGACGCTGAGATGCAGGTGCCGGCAGTGGGGATTAGATAGGATTGAGGGCAATTTTGTCTTTTTGGAATTTCTCTCCCATCTTTTTTATCAGAAATGATAAAATATTGTCTCGGGTATCCTACAGCAAATTACATAAATTTTGTGGTGTCCATCAGCAACGACACGATTTTACAGTGTCTCACAGCCAATTACATAATTTTTGGGTGTCCTAGAGAAAATTTTGCCATATATTATTGTTGCATTTCACCCGAGAGTATTCCAAGGGTATCGTATTTGTTTAATTCTGTGGGAAGATTATAATAGAGAGAACCAAGCTAATATTTATATGTTACATGTAATAATCAAAGTCTAAGCAGGGGTTAATTCAATTCAAGGGTAGAGTGACACAAAGCAGAAACACTCAATATTCCCATACATACTAATTCTAGGATAAGTGGAAAGAATGAGAAAAGAATCATTTCCTACACTTCTAATGTACATACATACAACTCTGGTCAATATTATCTACTATATAATTATATACCCAATACCCCCCTTACGATGTTCTCCTGGTGTTTCGAGAGACCACCCGTGGTTGCCGAGTTCCTTACGACAACCCGTCATGGCCATCCAACCGGGGCTAAATACGGAGGAGTACCCTCCCTAGGAAAGTAACTTAGGATTATATACTAACGTGGATGAATACCCGTACTGAGCTGTCACCATCAGTGGCCCAGCTCTACTGTCCCGCAACATATAACCCCAAATAATGATATTCAATAGCCTAAGCACCTCGCTTATGCTACCAAATACTACTCTACAATCATCGTCTTGACATAGAGTAATCATATAAATGAACATCATACCCACACCATTGCATCTCCAGAGTAAGCTAGCTAGACAATTATATCTCGAATAATATATCAGAAAGTCGATACTCAAATGATCAGAGTGAAGTAAAGTACCATAAATATATTGAGAAGAATATTCTATAAATAGTACGAGTCTTACAAAAGATGGAAAAGCTACTAGAGCCATACCCGAACTCTTCCGAAGACTCCGATGACTAAAGACTCTATTCTATTTCTATTCAACTATACTCTAGAGACTAAACTAAACTTGAGAAAATGTATGAAGCTTATTGCCTGAGTGTGTGGAAGAGTGAAGGATGAGAGCTCCTTAAATAGCCTCCCAATGACGGTTATGACGATTGGAATGGTCGGAAATGCTCTCCAACCGTCATTGGGATGTAATCCTAGACGTCCACGCTAAGCCCTGCATCCAACGACGCTGGTGGGGGTTCGGCCGAACCATGGGCTGGCCCAATCCTATCCATTATCTGCTGGCAGCCTATTTGACTTCTTCTCTCCGCAGACTTTTGAATTTTGGTCCAGTTTGGTTGTGTCATTTCTGAGTTCTTGGCCCATCTTTCGATAAGTCTTATTCTCGACAATGTCCGATTGATTTATCGTCTGCTTTGCTGTCGATTCTCCTCCATTTTGTATTGTATTCTCTGCAAGAGGTTAGAATCCTAGTGCTAGTGGAAAACAACTTATTCTAACACAAATATGCATTGCAAGCATAACTAGTTCTCTTTTATTTTGGTGATATTGACGGGCGAAACTGATCGATAACGACTATCAATAGGGCTCCTCACAGATACGGTTCCAGTAGCCCTGTGCCACACTTGTAGCATGTCTGGTCCTGCGGGTCGTATGACTTGTCATTGCGGGCGGCTTGGTTTCCTGCTTGTCGTTGCGTCTCTAGGCATCTGGAGCTCTTTCCTATGCCTTCTCGGCTGCCTTTCTCCCACCTTGCTTGCCCCTCTTCTTTTGGATGGGCTTGCAGACCTTGTAACTGCTAGCATTGACATCAAGGCCAATGCTCTTGCCAAGTGCCTAGGAGACAAAGTTCTCGTGGAGAACCTTGTGATGAGACTTGGACACCTATATGATGTCGATCATCCCATCAAACTTCTTGTATGCTACATGCCTATAGTTACGAGAGCTCTGCGTTACGTTAGGGTGGAAGGTGGAGAGCATCTTCTCAATCTTGTCCAATTTTGTGACTACTTTTCCACAAAGGGAGAGGTAGGTACAGATCAGGTGCAAGGTAGAGTTGTAGTCGGCGAGCCTCAAGCGAGCTCTCTGCTGATTTTCTTGGGGTAGGATGGTGTACTTTGACTTCTCAAACCGCTTCTTGAGCGTGGTCCATATCTGAACACCTATATGGGAGGTAATGAGGAAATGTCTAATGCATATACAATATCTAAATCTAATACAAGTGTTGTTGACATTGTTGGTCCAATTATTAGAAGCATGTATAGAAACTAGAGAAGAAAATGCAAACACAGTGACCTAATATTTATTCCTTCTTTCTATAAAGTTAAGGCCAAAAGTTTAAAACTCGTGCTTCCACGTCATCATCAAATTGTGAACCGTTGGATGAATGCATTAGATCGCTTCTCAGACGTTGGATGCTATGCAGCATAGAGCCCAACCCATTAGTCACCGGGTGAGTCTCTTCGCCTCCTCAGTGACATGTAGCCCACATGAACACATTGGCCCATCTCCGTACACATCTACATGTATCAAGCCCGTTAATCCGTATAAAAGAGCTTTATGACTGAACGCCCCTTCAGTTGACATGTGCTACCTAAATTATCTACAAATTTTGGATAGGGCTGCTAAAAATAATTTCTCCAAGAAAGCTATTTGTTTCTTCTGTTTCTTCTTAAGATTATACCTCCTATCTAACAAATTGATGTTAACCAAGTCCCGCAGCAACGCGCGGGGCATCCTCTAGTTTACTTAATACCGATGTTTTAGAAAATATTGTGCTTTCATTCGTGTGTTTTATAATTCTCATAAATGATGGATTATTCAAAGGCATTCAACATGTGAAGGAGAGAAGCCAACATCTAATGAAGTCCATTTAGCACTGTGGCTGTTACATGGAGTTAATAAATCAGAATAAACGTTATGTCTTAATTATCTTTCTCATCACCACTTGCATGCGTGGACATGTCCAGAACATGCATGTCAGTTTCTTGGATAACGCCTATGGACCATCACTTAAATAGCTAAGTACAGAGAAGTTTGCATTCTGATTTCAGAACTGAACACTTATAAAAATTGAATTATAGTGAGTCTAGAGGGATTTACAAGCTTTGTTCTTTTGATTCTTGAGGGAGTTGTAGAATGTTGAACTGCGGTTCATCTGTTCATCTCACGTCTATACGACATGATTGTGTGGGCTAGTTTCATCGGTACTTGGAAGGGCGACTGCCTTTGTAGTTCGTCCCGTGTGCAAAATCTCGTGGTGCATTGCCTTTTTGTCATGTCACGTGGTGATAACAATTATATCAAGTGTTTTGGTCCATCGTGAAGATCGGGCCACAAAATTGGCTCACATGTTTCTTCATACGCATGTGCATACGAGGAGGCCACCAGATCCTATCCAACAATAGCCCACTATTGCATTGGCCAATCTATGGAATCTATGGAATGACAACTAAGCTTTGCCACTATCGGAGCTTCCTAATTCGGGCATTCGCACCAGGGGTGCAAGTCGCACCTCCTCCTTCCTCCGGCGAGCTTCTTCCGATGGAGAAGAGGAGATGTAGACGAGTGGCCTTCCTCCGCCGACGACGACAACGAAGACCTCTCCGGCGAGCCCCCTCATCCTCCCTCCAGCAATTAGGTCAGCTCCTTTTCTTCGTCGCCGACACCAACCACGCAGGCACTGAGCCTCGCCAGCACCGAAAGGCATCAACGTGCCGATGTGGCCTTGTCTGGTCAGCCTCCTCTCCCTCCCCTTCACCTCGCTTTGCCCTTGGCTGGCCCACTGCACGTTGCCATCCCCACAGCTCTAGTGGCACCATCGCCGCTGCGCAGCCCGCTCTTGTTTGCCATCTACCATCGGTCCACCGCTTCTCAAACCATCATCGCTCTAACCCGATCCCGCACTTCCCCTTCCCAGCGACACCCTCCCCCACCCTACTCCCGAAACCCTAACCCTACCCCGATGCTTGTCGTCACATGGTCGGGAAGCCGCATGCGAGATGACTAGGTTGTATAGCTCGCGAATTAGGATTCCTGGCCGCTGCCTACCTTTGGTCACTTGGAAAATGAAACACTTCCTTTAATTGCACATTGGCATTGCTACTTCCTATTAATATCAAGTAAATGACACCCAAACGCACAATAGCATTGCCGTTTTGCTTTCAATTAATATCAAGTAATTCTGGCCAAATAATGTGCAATGAAACTGCCGACTCCACTATATATGTTTTAATGCTTTTTGGTCATCCACACAACGATCACAGGAGCTTCCTTTTTTCCTTTTTTGCGAGAGATCAGGGGAGCTTCTGTTAGGCCACCTAATATTGATCAACATCACCTCAAAGATTGTGAGACACCTACCGCTTGATCGACATCACCTGTTCAATTTACAATTTTATTGTATGCTCAGCAATCATATTTGGGAGAGAAATTGCCCCTCATATATATGATTGAAGGAAAGAGTCTTGGTCTGTCATATTTTATTGCTACGGGATAAAACATTCCCATATGTCTCTTGGCAGGTGATTTCTCACACTCTCTCTCATACACAAGCTAGATAAATTTTGTTGGTCTCTTTTCTAAAAAGAATGATTGATATATACAGATTGTTGCAATTTTGTCTATGCATCCCTATATACCCTTGAAATTTTACCTAATCCTAATCAATTATATGCTCTTAAATTTTGCTCATTCCCCATATGTAACCCCGAATTTTAGTTTGGATCCCTTTCATATCCTTTTCATTAGTTGACCGTGATTTAATCGTTAAATTCCTATAAAAAAGTGTACCTTGCCCTTTAGTATAAAGAAACATATAAATTTGTAAAGTATATTGTTAGAGGGTAGAAATTTATTGTATAAGACTATTATATTATGAGTTTGTTATGGGAGATATTTTTTATGAAAAGATTATCTCTAGATATGACATAAATAATATTTATTTATTAGTTATTAAAAAAATGTTTATGTAGCATATAAATAGATTTGACCTATACACTGCTATCATAGAAAAAATGCTACATATACATTTTTAATAATTAAAAGTAAATATTATTCCTTTTATGCCATATGTAAAGATAAATTTTTTCGTAAATAATATATCCCATAAATATAAGAGTCGCATACAATGAATATCAATATTCCCATAATATACTTTATAAATGTATATGATTCTCCGTACACAGGAAAAAAATATGGCCAACTAATAAAAAGGTATGGAAGTGATCCAAACTAAATATTGAGGTATGCAAAGGAATTAGTAAAATCAGGGACATACAAGAGATTAGGCAAAGTTTTAGAGGTATACATGGGATTTCCTCATATAACTACTAACTTATCCTGAACCTTTGGGATATTTGGCCATTCATGACTTGTTGAGGTCATGTACTACTGTGATAAATATTATACACACACTTCTTCCTCCTCCCTTCTCCTTCTATATCAATAGTGATCCAGCGTGATGGGGGCTTGAACACCCAGCACTCACGCTATATCTGCCCGTGCACACTTATAATCTTATATGGCAGCTCAAAGGCAAACAAAGCTATATTTATTTATATAGATTTAACTAAGAACTCAATGACCATACTCCTTCCGTACTCGTAAAGGAAGTCGTTTAGGATCATGTTTAAGTCAAACCTTGGGAATATAAATCATGAATAACTCTCAAGTTGTTCAGTTTGAAAATGTAAAAATTATATGAATAGATTTCTCTTGAAAAATACTTTCATAAAAGTATACATATATCACTTTTCAATAAATATTGAGTTTGAAAATATAAAAATTATATGAATAGACTTGTCTTGAAAAATACTTTCATAAAGGTATACATATATCACTTTTCAATAAATATTTTTATAGAAACAAGAAATCAAAATTGTGTTTTGGAGACCGTATCGTTGTCTAAAACGACTTCCTTTATAATTACATAGGGAGTATCTTATTTAGCGCTACTGCTAATCGTTTGTTAAGGCTCCACTAAATGTTACAAAAATGCTATACGTCTGACCATTATGTCCGACTCTTGTACGACCGTAACACTAGCGAATGCATGGCGTCGATCTCTACAGGACTTTGCCTCACGGCGTTACGTGCCCAGCTGATTTCCCGTTTAGTCGTACACCGGTCGAACAAACAAGTCGGACATATAGCATGGTTCTAAATGTTATGTGTAAAAGGAGGCTTATTTACTTCATCCTTTTGAGCGTAGACTTATCTATCAAAAGGTGATGAAGGGACCACGCGAAGAATATGGCATTCAATATTAAGGTAATTAAATAATTTGTCTATCACTTTTCCTACTCTTTGCACTTACATTTGTAGTTTTATGTTTATTCTTTCGTCATCGAGTATCACAATCATAGTTACTGTATGCTATAATTATTTGTCGACTAAATCTGCCTTTCATCTTTCTGTTCTTGGAGATTCATGGTTTGCACCAATTTGATTGATACCAATTTGCTTTAATTTCGTCGTGATTATGTAACTCCTTTTCAGTTGGTACTTAAACCATCGATCCATCGATCATAGTACAATTCCGGAGCAACGCGGGGTAATCTAGTAAATTAGTTATAAAATGAAAGGGCGTTGCATTTAGCATTATCATCCGGTGCTGTCCAGTTTTCGGTGGCCCATGCTATAAAATGGTCATTCAATATGCTCTGCTGGAAGATGAGCTGCAAACCTCTTACTGTTTCTGATAATCTTCCTATGATATTTTATCCATTATCTGACAATAATTTGTCTGCGGAAGCTAGCTAGGACCACGGCCATTTCCCAACAAACTCATCACATGCTCTCCTTGTTTGTTGCAAGATGCAGATGGTGGTAAAGCTGTAAATAATAGTGGTGGTATACGTGGTACGGTGAGCATGGAGGGGCAAGGTCTTGTGAGCCGGAGCTGGCAGGAGTCGAAGCTGCTGTGGCGCGTCGCCTTCCCGGCCGTGCTCGTCGAGTTGCTCCAGTTCTCCATCGGCTTCGTCACGGCCAGCTTCGTCGGCCACCTCGGCGTGGTCGAGCTCGCCGCGGTCACCGCCGTCGAGAGCATCCTGGAGGGCTTCGCCTACGGCGTCCTGGTACGTAGCCTCGAGCTTTCTTTCGGCATTGTTCATTCCGGCCGGCCGCCGCCGCTAGCCGTCGCGGACGGTACCGATGACGTGAGATGCGCGTCCATGGCAGTTTGGCATGGGGTGCGCGCTGGACACGCTGTGCGGGCAGGCGGTGGGCGCCGGGCGGCTGGACGTGCTCGGCCTCTACGTGCAGCAGTCGTGGATCGTGTGCGGCGCCACCGCGGTGGCGCTCACGCCGACGTACGCCTTCGCCGAGCCGATCCTGCGGTCGCTCCTCCGGCAGCCGGCCGACGTCGCCGCCGTGGCGGGGCCGTACGCGCTGTGGTCGCTGCCGCGGCTGTTCGCGCACGCCGCCAACTTCCCGCTCCAGAAGTTCTTCCAGACGCAGAGCAGGGTCTGGGCGCTCGCCGCCATCTCCGCCGCGGTGCTCGCCGTGCACGCCGCGCTCACCTACGCCGCCGTGGTCAGGCTCCGGTACGGCCTGCGCGGTGCGGCCGTCGCCGGCAACCTGTCCTACTGGCTCATCGACGCCGCGCAGTTCGTCTACCTTGTCTCCGGCCGCTTCCCGGACGCGTGGAAGGGGTTCACCATGACGGCGTTCAGCAACCTCGCCGCGTTCGTCAAGCTGTCACTTGTGTCGGCCATCATGATCTGGTCGGTAACAATTAATTCAACCCTTCGCCTCGGATTTGTTTACGGAATTGCTAAAAAAAACCTTGGCAAGTTTCTTTCCCCTAAAACTTTCTAATTGGTAGCGAATCATCTAAAGATTTGTGCATGAAGAGAAAAATTGCTACAAAGAAATTTTCACACATATCACGCGTAATATCCCAGTGCTAACCAACCAAACTATATAATTAAATATAATTTATATATAAATTATATTATAGTTACATGTAGTTCAGTGAAAGTACAGTTTAGTTGTATTGTAATTATAGTTCAATTATCCTATAGTTATTTCTGAAAGTTTTTCGCTCAAAATTTTATTACTCTACTAGTAATTAATAATTTGCCATATGTCATTATTATTATTGTAATTTTTTTACTATTTTTATTGTTATTAATTATTATTATAAGGAAATTATGATACAAATAATTTAATGATACTGTTTTTTTAATTTATTAAGCTTGGAGTTTTGGTACTACGCTGCACTACTCATTCTTGTGGGTCTCCTTAAGAATGCCAGACTCCAGCTTGATATCATGTCAATTTGGTAAGTGTTGTTAATTTACAAAGCCCTCCTGCAAACACAAATGCAAGCTTTGGCTATAACTGATTTTTTTTATTTCTATAAAAACAAGAGTGATATTTTAATTTACAGCATCAATTACCAGTTCTGGACCATGATGGTTGCGATGGGCTTCAGCGAAGCAATCAGGTACATACACAATAATGGCCATTAACTCGTATTATATATTTGCACATGCTATCGATATTACATACAAAAGTTTAGCAGATTATTATATATATAAGGATATCATAGTTCTCCTTTTTTAAGATATTACTTAATCGAACTATTCATGCACAGATGAATGGTGATACTCTTAATTGCTTAAATAATATTTTTTATTTTCACAATAAGTCATTTTAAGTCTATTAACAGTTGCATACTTTCGAATTACTTTATGGCTTCCCCGCAAAAAAAGACAATTAGTTTATGGCTTCAAAATTACCTATAAAATCATTCTGAAAGTTTTTTCATTATTTTATTTTCCCCTTAATTTAATAGTTTTAGAACGCTAATTAAAAGTTGCATATTGTGTGAATAATAAGTATAGTTTGTTCTTGACGGAATAAATTATATCTTAACTATTATAAAAATTGAATATAGTTTCGTCGGAATTTTGGTATGTCATCCGTATTTGAGTTGCTTGTACGTCACCTGAATCCAATTTAACGTGAGTCTAAAATAACTATTATACACTACTGTTCTAGCCCAATCCTTCCTGCTCCTGGCCCAATCCAACTAGCCTACAACATTCTGCCACCCTGTCCCACGCTCCTTCACTCGACGCTGGACGCTCCCTTGATCAACGTCTTTTTTTTCCTCTCCCTTTTTTCCCGTTTTCTTTCTCATTTCCTTTTCTCCCAATCATCCTCATCCTCTCCCTCTCCTTCTAATCACCTCTTTTTTCTCCTCCTTTTCTCTTCCAAATTTCTCTCCTCATAGCGAAAGGGCCTATAGCTTAGTGGTTACAAGAGCCTCAGTAGCACTTGAGGTCTTGGGTTTGACTCCCCATGGGAGCGAATTTTCTAGGATTTTACGGCATTGTGCTTTCAGTGGTAAGCGACGTACCCGTCGACACCGAGGCGTCTGTGGTGACTTCGTCAATCTCTATAGAATTTGTCGGCCCAGTCTTCGAGGATCCTCATAAATATTTTCCTTTTGAATTATTGTTTAAGTTGTGTATGCGGCAAGTTTGTTATTTCGCAAATGCTTTCCTTCTACAGTAAAACAACGTTCACTAAGACTTCGTCAATCTCTACAGAATTTGCCGGCCCAGTCTTTGAGGATCCTCATAAATATTTTCCTTTTGAATTATTGTTTAAGTTGTGTATGCGGCAAGTTTGTTATTTTGCAAATGCTTTCTTTCTGCAGTAAAACAACGTTCACTAATTAAATAATCAAAATTTCAATATTTGGTTGACGAGGTATAGAAAAATACCCATGCATAACCTTATAGTATAGACACCTAATCGATTTATGAGGCTATGGAATAGTCTATATAAGAGATTCTTTGTGTGAGAATACATGAATCGAGTGCAACCGGGTTCAATGCTATACGTGATTTCTGACTTTTTTTTGCTATTGTTTTGTTTGTCTTATTTCGGTTTGTCGTTTAAATTGGTAGAGTTTTTATCGATCGTGAAAATTATCTTCACATGTTGTAACGCATATGCATTTTTGCTAGTAATTAATAAATACTTTTACTTGGCTTGGTGTGTCAATTTTATTTCTTTTTATGCAATAGTTTTGAATTTCAAAGAGCACGATGAAAAATATTTGAACCAATTTTTTTCTACATCATCAGCGTCAGAGTATCAAATGAGCTCGGTGCGAGAAGACCAAAGGAGGCAAAGTTCTCAGTGGCAGTGGCATCATTAACATCGGCCATGATTGGTGCCATTTTCATGTCAATCTTCTTCATTTGGAGAACAAGCTTGCCAAGCCTCTTCAGCGACGACAAGGAGGTGGTAGACGGAGCTGCAAGATTGGGGTATCTACTTGCTGTCACCGTCTTTTTTGGCAATATCGGGCCTGTGCTTTCAGGTATTTAACTTATTAAGAAGAAGAAAAAAAAAAGCTCAAGAACTGAACTCTTGTGTTGCTGCTCCTGAACATGCATGAACACCAACAAATTTGAGCAACTATGCAACTAAATTTGCAGGTGTGGCAGTAGGAGCAGGTTGGCAAATTCTGGTGGCATTTGTGAACATCGGTTGCTACTACTTGGTAGGGATCCCATTTGGGGTTCTCTTTGGCTTCAAGCTAAAGCTTGGTGCATTGGTACGATGTTTCTCGCTGTACTCCTGTCTTAGCCCCATTGATCAGCACTTCTATTAAGTACGACTATATGTTTCTTCAACTTTCCAGGGGATATGGATGGGCATGTTGACAGGAACATTACTCCAGATGGCCATACTATTTTTCATTATCATGAGAACAAAGTGGGAGGCACAGGTACCATACTTAATAAATGAAAGTTTATTTGTTTACATGGAAATTAGCTTCATATGGATTAATGAAGGAAGATTATTGCAGGCAATATTGGCGGAAAAAAGGATCAGTGAGTTAGGAGAAACAACGGCCAATGATTGAGAACACATAATTGTACAGATGACCACTGAACTCCCAAATATATGGAAATTGGCAAACAGACGAGCTGGAAAAAAATATATAGAATTTACATGTCTCAAGATCAAGCCCATGACTTTATATATTTTATAAAGGTTTTAGGACATTGTATTTCCTATTTGTTTGCATGGATCGATAATCAGCATAGCATAGAATTGACTTTTGTTCATGTTTAATTTTTAAAGGAACTAGTTTTAAACCCACAATCTCACAATTGAGGATCTTTATTTGTACCTATAAAGGCCCAATATTGAATTAGACTTTTTTCTCAAGTTTAATTTTTGTTTGCACCGGTACAGAAAACATGTGTACAAGCAGTATGTAACCCATTTACATGGGTATTTTTTTGAAACCCTTGCAACCAATAGTAGAAAAACGATTTTCAAAGGCCCCTCCCCCTTAATTTCATGGGCAGACAAGAATAAAAAAAAATGTTGCTTTAAGTAGCTGCCCATGTAAACAAATACTGTGGGGGACAGCTAACAGCAGCCACCCATGAAAATCATTTCAATCTACCCAGGTGGCTGGCTTAAGTGGCCGCTCATAATAACACGATGCGCATAGGCGGTTGCCTTGGGATATCCCCTTAAAAATATATATATTTACATGACGATGTTATGTACACTATTACCCATGTACACTACACCATGTCCCAAAATTGGCAACAATTAATCTGTCGGCGAAGACCACCTTTATCATCAAATAGTCTGTCGGCAAAGGCCTTTGGCGACAGAGAGGGTGTGTCGGTGGAAAGCCTGTCGGGATAAGGCATTACCGACAAATAGAACTTCTACCGACAGACAGTTTGACGTTATTATTTTAGTTCTACCGACAGACAAAGTTTTGTCCACAGACGCCGCACACATCACATGCCCACATATAATCTGTGGTTAATATGCTTCTGCCGACATGCAAGAATACAACCAACTTTTCACATTCCAATTCAATAGCAAATTACTGATAATTGCAACTAGCAAAAGAGTGGAAGTAGACACCAAATTCCAGACATTAGCCCCGAAGATTACATCAACATGTATATTGCTGCCCTGTCATAGGTTCATGTCAACTACGAGTCATTACTCCAAAAGTTCACATGCTTCTAACATCAGTTTGTTGTCACAGGTTCATGTCAACTACAAGTCATTACTCCAAAAGCTTACATGCTTCTAACATCAGTTGTTGAAACGATCAAGGGACAAGCAGTGTTTACTACAAAAGGCATACAAGTTACATGGTTTCTAAAAGTGCACTACCCTAAGTTGGTAATTTTCATCAGCCACCATTTGACCAAAATACTCCCTTTGCAGCCAGCATTTTGTTATCCAGACTAAACAACCCCTGCAAAATAATCCTTACGAAGTTAATAAGGTGGAAAAAGCTCCCATGACTGAAAGGAGTCATAATAGGTGCAAATCAGGACAATCTTCCAAATCTATTTTAGGTCAATCATAATCCATATTTCTCAGGTACTCTAACATTATATTCAAAACTAAAAAAGAAGTTTAACTATTCTTGCAATAGTCTGTACTAGTTAGTTGTACACAAACACATTGCTTTACTCGAGGATTTGAACCTTGCACTAGAGGATTTGAACCATGCAGAAATGTTTAACAAGTGAGGGTTATTACTAACAAGCAGTCCAAGTATTCTGAAATGCATAGGTTATTACTAACAACTCAGTTCATCTATTGGGAAGTAAACACTGGAAGTAAATACCTGCACTTTTGGAGTTAGCACTTTTGGACATAGCAGACCTCTTGCTAACATTCAACTGCCAAAATGAAAGGTGAAAATAGCATACAGTTAGTATTTGATGGCAAGCCATTACAACAAAAATAGAAACAATAAGCACGTAGTAAGGATTTGACAGCAGATTTTTACCCTATTGTTTGGCCATGCAATGGATGTGTACTGAGCATCAGCCATAGTTTGCATATCATCATATGGACGAGGAAGCAATGCATCTCTTTTAAGCACGACATTGACAACAACTTCATAGAATTCAACACCTAGAGGTTGACCTCCCACCAAGGAACTTGGATCAATTGATACAATTGTTGCTTTAGCCACAGGGGTGTCAGATCTCAAGACAGCATATAAGATAACATCTTTACCAACCTAAAGGACACAATTCAGTTCAGTATGTTGACCAATTAATACCAATAGCATTTAAATGACTTAAATAAAAGCTAGGTTTAGAAGGATGAGAAAAATTACAAGATTTTCTCCTTCAGCAATGGTGGCTTCATGGCTTCCTGTGGCTGTGTTTCTTGAGGGCACCCTTGGCGTTATAGCTTTTTTGCGGATAATAAAGTCATCACCCGATAGGATATTATCCAAGTGCCTACTGGTAGGCTCAGCATGAGGCTCCTCCAGCAAGTGCCTATTGGTAGGCTCATTAGGATGCAGCTCTTCAAGTACTGGACTCCTTGGGCTCTACAACCAAATCAACATAATGACATAAGCTTTTGTAGGCAATAAATACAACACATATTTCCAAATAACATGAAATCAAATAGATAAATCTAGATAGGCAAGGCACTTTACCTCAGCATGTCGAGAATTAGAAGCATGATGGGAACTTGTTTCTATATTCTGCACACCTTGAGACATAACCATATGCTCCATTATGTTAAAACGTTGTTGCATGTCGTCCATGCGTTTATTCAGACATACAACTTCTTGTTTGGTCTGTCGATGAGATTCTATTTCTAGCTGAAGTCTTGTTGGCATTCTGCTACGTGTTCCTGGTGTGCCCACATCCTGAGGAGTTGGTCCCTTTCCTAAAACACGAACACGGCCTCTTGGTTCCTTAGTTCCACAAACACGTGAATACAAATCGCCCTCCTGGATTGTTTTGTTCTTCAACTCTGGGTTAACTTCTGCAGCCTCTTTTAGCATTTCCTATAATGTTGGAAAAACATATTAGCAAGTAGTATTCTTCACATGAAATCTGTTTTAGAAAATGAAAGCATACAACTGTTTCTGCAGCCTCTGGAATAATTTCTCCATTTTTTCGTTTGTGCGTTTCAACAAAGACTTCATCCCTTCTAGGAGGACGCCCAGTTTTCACACCCTAAAACAAGAAGTTAGAGTACACAAAGCTTTGTAAGTCATACATCTAATGAACTAACATGATATACTTATGTTACCATGTCATGGCCAACACGAGCGTGGCTCTTGCTACCAGCTGTATGTAACATGCGCAACATTCCGCGATTTGCCTTGCCTCTTATGGAGCGGGCCTACACAACAGTTATGAACACAATATGTAGGCTATTTTAATGTAAAGTACAGCAAATAACACTGGATGCCTTACCACAGCTTCTGGAGATCTCCAATGGTTAATAAGCCACTTCCATTGTGCCTCGTTGACTCTTAAGTCACGTCTGTCCATAAGTTCCTCATCAGTCAGATTTGCATCAAAATGTTTCTTCTTCAAATCAGCCTTATAATCCTTCCATATCATATGTGATGTCTCCAACACAAAATGTAAACCATATTCATTGATCTCATAATGTTTCTGTTTTAATATAAAAAATATTGAATTAGTAGGATATACAAAATTAATGGAACAAGACAAATAACAGTCAATCTACCTGTACATCTTCCCATACTTTCAGCTTGTCTTTGACGTCAACATCTCTCCAATCACCACATGCAACAGGTATTTTCTTTCTCACAAATGTCCCAACAGTAGTGGCAAATTCCTCAGAATCAAGCCCCACCGGCTGACCAAATTCGTTGAGAGTAATTTTGATTTTAGCTTCACCCACCCTTGAAATTATGTTGAGCTTTTGAGTGATACCCCTTCCTTCCTTCTTTTTCTGCTGAACTTTTTCAAGTTCAAGAATTTCTTCTACATCTACTGAACAAAACAGAAACAAGCATAAGCATGTATAACACTAGCACGATCTGAATTGCCATAAATAGCACAGCTCAGTTTCTTTAATACCTTCATTGTCATCCATGGCATCTTCTTCTGGTTGGTATTCAGGATCATCGCCAACATTTTCATCTACATTTTCCTCTAGGTTATTTCTTGACCTAGACCGCAAGTTATGATCTCCACATGGCACCATGTTTCTACCATCAGTTACCTAACAGAAGTTTGATGTCAAATAAAAGGTACATATTGGATACTAAAAAATTAGAACCAGAAGTTCAAGACACATAACCTTAGGTATTTTCTTGGGTCGTTGTTGAACATGCGTATTGCTGCCCATGGGCGGGAGGTTTAGAGATTGTAACATTTCATTGTTTGCTGCTATGACACCTTTGCGACGTATTTCATAATCAGTAAGAGTGTTTTCCTTATTCTTTCCAACTGCCATTCCATTGATAACCTTTTCTTTAGACCTTCCTCTTGCCTTTTCCATTGTTTTTCCTGCGCCATGATAAAAAAAAATTACCAACCAGTAAAGAGTGCTTCAACGAACATCAGTACAGTAGAAGGAACAGGAAAAGTACTAAGATTACTTGGTGTACAAGCAGAAATGAGCAGCAACAATAATATATATACAAAAATGCTTACGTCTTAGGTTTGTTTGCTTCAACAATTATTCCATCTATGTCTGTCCTAACAAAAACAGTTTCTTCAACAGAGATATTCATAGTTGAATTGGGATGCACATCAGGCAAAATGATGGATACTTCAGTGTCATTCCCCAAATCATCTTTTTCAGTTTCACTCATATTATATAAGTCACGTGGTTTTGATTGCCTAACAGCAAACCATTCAGTATCAACAGGATCTTGAACATAGTAAACCTGAATAGCTTGAGATGCTAAAATGAAAGGCTCATCTGATATATTGTCACCGGTATTGAATAAATGCTTGAAATTCACAGTAGTTATCCCAAACTGATCAGTCTTTACCCACTTGTCCTGTATGCGATTATCAACCCAATCACACTTGAAGAGCACTATATTACCTCTGTTGCTATAATTCAACTCAATAATTTCTTTTATAATACCATAATAGATCTTGTTTCCTACTACGCGGCAATCATTATTGCCTCTTTCAAAACATGTGGTCTCAGCCATTAGAGACACTCCACTACTTTGAACAGGCCTTCCCTCATCATAAGACTGTGTATGAAAGTTAAAACCATTTATGGTGTAGCTGTTATATTTATTGGCAGCCATGATGGGCTCTTTAGCTAAAATTTTTATCTCTTCTGGTTCATCATCACCCATCTCAGTGACCTGTTATTGAGATAATATTTGTCAAGATAAAGCTACAATTTAGTAAAAATCACACATTACTTGGGCCATTTGCCTACTTACATGCAATCTAAACCACTCATGAAAGGTTTCATGGTGCACACGGTCAATTTCACGTTTGTTTTGAAGGCCAGTTGAGGAAAGATAGTCAATGTGTTTGCTGCAAGTGTTCAAAAGCCAATTCAATAATAAAAAAACGAAAATTTCTCAATGTTAAAATAAAGAAAATAGCTCACTTCAAATAAGGATCGATATTGTCATAGTTGAATAAGACATATCTGTGTGCCTGCAACCAATTTTTGTGGTCTAAAGCCACGCAACATTTGCCAGCTAACCCTCGCCCAATGTTGCGAAAGAAAGGAGTGGTACTCTGAACTTCCATGGGCAGGCCTTCGTCATTCCTAACTCGCCGAGTAAAACGAGTAACACCATGTAAATAACGAGAACAGAATGTAAGACTCTCATCAAATAAATAGCTCTCCGCAATTGATCCTTCGGGATGACTTCTAGTGCGAACATACCCCTTACATCTCATCAAAAACCTATACATATATAAATAGGGAGTGAAAGTGAGTTTATTTGTGCTAAGGCATGGCTGCAGTTATTTTACTGGTTTTTTTAGAAAATTACCTCTCTCCAGGGTACATGTTGCGAAAATGTACCGGACCAGCTATTCTTGCTTGAGCAGGTAGATGGACCATCAAGTGTATCATAATAGTAAAAAATGAGGGTAGGAATATTTTCTCAAGAAGACATATGGTCTCAGCTATTTCTGCCTCTAGTTTTTGCATATCACTTACACGGATAACAGGCGAATATATTTGCTTAAAAAAATTGCTCACACGAATCAGTGCTGCACTAACATTTTCTGGTAATATCCTTCTAACAGCAAGTGGAAGCAATTGTTGAAGGATAACATGATTATCATGGCTCTTAAGTCCGATTATCTTTTTCTCATTAACCTGGACATTGCGCCGTATATCAGAGGCATAACCATCAGGGAACTTAACTCCATTTAACACTTTGCAAAACAATTTCTTCTCTTCAGAATTCATTGAGTATGGGGCTGGAGGTAAATAAAATTTATCTTCTACTTCAATAGGATGAAGATCACTTCTTATGCCTAGAGCTTGAAGGTCTAACCAAGAATTTAAGTTGTCTTTTGACTTCTTGTCAGTACCCAAGAGTGTATTGATTATGTTATCACATACATTTTTCTCAATGTGCATTACATCAAGATTATGACGCAAAAGCAAGTCCTTCCAATATGGAAGTTTGAACCAAATAGACCTTCTTTTCCAAATATTAATTGGCTCCCCCTCCTTACGCTTTCTCTTTTTCGTTACCTTCTTTCCAGATGGATCCTTCCCAAAAGATGTTTGCATCCCTTCTGTCTGCTTCAAAATTTCCTTTCCAGAAAGTGGAACAGGTGCTGACTCAAGCTCAACAACACCATCAAAAGAATCAGCATCAAATCTAAATGGGTGGTTTGCATGTAGAAACCTACGGTGTCCCATGTAAGAAGTCTTGCTGCCATTTTTCAATCGAAGAGAGCGTGTAAATTGATGGCACTCAATGCATGCTCCCTCACCTGAGGTAGTACAACCAGCCACATACCCAAGACCAGGATAATCTGAAATGGTGCATAATATAGCAGCACGCAACTGGAAATACTCACCCTTGGAGGCATCAAAAGTTCTAACACCATGGACAAACATATCGTACATATCATCGACTAGTGGCTCCATAAAGACATCCATGTCACTACCAGGAGCATATCGACCAGGAATTAACAAAGAAATTATGAAGTTTGGTTGCTTCATACAGATCCATGGTGGAAAGTTGTATGGAATTATAATAACAGGCCAAATGCTATAAGAAATATTCATGGATCTGAATGGATTAAACCCATCGGTAGCTAATGCACATCTAATATTGCGAGGATCAGAGGCAAATTCTGGGTGCTTATGGTCAAAATCCTTCCAAAGAGGAGAATCTGCTGGATGTCTAACCAAACCATCTTGTGTGCGCTCTTCATCATGCCATCTTGTTAGAGCTGCTGTTCTAGAGCATGCAAACAACCTCTGAAACCTTCTCTTTATTGGAAAATAGCGAAGAACTTTATTAGGAACCTTGTGTATGCGTTTGCCATTTAGACTCTTGTTTTCTGACTTCCATCTTGAGGTTTCACATTTTGGACAAGAGTTGGCATTAGCATCATCCTTCCAATAAAGGATGCAATCATTTTTACATGCATGAATACTAACATATCCAAGCCGTAAGCATTTCACTGTTTTCTTAGCTTCATTGTAGTTCTTTGGTAGTGCTGACCCTTTAGGGAAAGCTTCAATAAGTAGATTTAGTAATAGATCAAAACTCTTATCAGACCATCCCCCAAGCAATTTGATGTGTAGTAGTTTAACTATGAAATGCAGCTTTGAGAATTTATCACACCCTGGGTACAGTTCTTGCCCATAATCATCTGACAGCATTTTAAGAGCATTCAGATCTTCATTTGTTACATCTGAATTACCCTCATCCTCAAATTCCCCCCTATCATCTAAGCCACATGCCAAGTCTCGAAGCAAATCAGAGATGTCATCATGTTCACTTGACTCCACATCCCCAACCTCATCATACTCAGCAGAATTCACAAAGGAGCTACCTTCTCCATGAAACATCAATGGTTTGTACCCTCGTAGAAAGCCCTCACATATCAAATGCTCATGAACTTCGCTTTCATCTCTCCAGAATGAACCAGCACATTTTTTACAGGGGCATTGTATTTTGTTGCCTACTGCTGAACTAAATTCATGTTGTAGGAATATGTCCAGCCCTTCTGAATATTCTCTAGAGTGCCTACGTGCAATACATCCATGAGTGGCCAGGTTAGATAAAAAAAGGGTATGGACCATAGAGACCTAAAATAGTTGAAAGTATTTGTTGTACCTAGGCTTATCCATCCACTGTTTATCCATGGTGCACCTCTGTTAATTTTCACAGATCAGCTATACAGACCCATAATGCATGTTTTAAGTGTTTAAACAATTGCAAATATACAACATTCACATTCAGGCAATTCAGTAAACATAGTTCCCAATTAAAATTATGGCAATCTTGCCAAAATAACCACTACTGCTGCAATCAATTATTTTCATCACACAAAATATGAAGCCTATTCAAACAACTATAATTTTTTTCCCAAGCATTCAGTACCAAGCATGCAGATAATATTCAATAGTAGAACATAATATATATAGAAAGCATCTCATTACTAACCTGGTGTTTGCTTGTTGCCAGCTATATGGCTGTTTTCCTCAAGTAAAGTTCAAACTTCTACCATGGAGATCCCCTTGGTCCTCTGATGCTTGCCTTGTTGATGACCTACAATATTTCATTGTAAACTGCCTCAAAATTTAATATTCAGAGAGTGCTATATTCACTGCCACTTGTACACCCTGGAAAATTCTAAATATCAATATCAAAATGATCCAAATACCTTGGTTAATAAATTCAGCCCATGTACTTCCGCGACACCAACTGGTTCATTCGAACAGCACTCAAGCCCAAGGGATAGCTGCATCCAGAACAAAGAGCGAAATTTCTCATCTCCAAAACGTAAAAATATATATATATATATATCACCAGTAGCAAAAGGGAAATCAATTGTTATTTACACAAAAATATCACCTAATATATCTCAATGGACAGAAACCCACAAACATACACACAGATTCACAATACGGCTATAAAAATCCCCTTTTTGCAAGACACACGCAATGGAGGAGCTGTCGACCAAGAGGTGAGCAGCTGTCCACCTATCCACCCTACTGGTTCCTTGGCAAAGTGGAAATCAGTGATGGCAGCAGCTCATAGACTGCGGCAACATATTAGTGGCTGTGGTGGATACAGCCTAAAATTTCAAAAATACAGTTGTTTCTAAATCTACATGCCATCAAACCACTGTAATTTGTAATTTAGGAACAGAACATTAGCACCACCCCGAATTGAACCAAGCAATACCAGATTTATCCCATATTATCACCAACCTCAGCAATTACTCCCAATCGTGACACATCAAACCACCATACAAATGTAACAGAAATCCAAGAACGTACACGCAAGAACAGAAAACGCAAGAAAGCAAATTGCATCAATGAGGCATGGGTAAAGAATCGATACCAAGAAGAGTGACAGCGGAGTGGACACGCGAGCGTGGGAGGGTGCGTGGGCGCTGGTTCCTGGAGCTACGAGCCCTAGGAGTCACGGAGTGGTGGTGGAATTGACAGGGCCGAAGGGGACATCTATTCCTCCTGACCTGGAGAGCTGCAGGGTTGATGCGATGGGTGGAGCGATGCGGCGGCGCGATGGGGAATGGCGGAGGTGCTACGGGAGGCAGGGAGCGCGGCGCGATGGGAGGGGAGCAGCGGTGAGATGGGGAGGGCTGGCGGCGCGACGGGAGGAGGGGACTAGCGGCGCGACGGGAGGAGGGGAGCAGCGGCGGCGCGATTGGAGGCGTGCGTGGGGGAGGCTGGGGATGGGTAGATCGATAGTTGTGTGATTTTTAGGGTTTATTTGGCTCTCTGACTCGGCCAGCCCAGCCCGCGCGGCAAATTTTAGCCCAACCCGCGCGCGGCAAATTTTCGCTCGCGCGCAAGCAAACTCATTGACCCAATTTTTTGGCGGGCCCCGAGAAATGCCCACAGACGATTTGACGGTAGTTATAGAACTACCAACAGACCATCTGTTCCCATAAATTAGTATCATTGCCGACAGACAGTCTGTCTTTTTAAAATGAACTACCAACGGACCATCTGACACTAACCTTCTCGCCACAGATGGTCTGAAGCTAATATCAATTCTTTTCCGACAGCTATCTGACGCTAATTTTGGGACATGGTAGACTACATTAATTTTTCAGGCCCAATTGTGGTATTGCCCTTTCATCTTGTGTCATTACTTCAAATCATCAACCACACCCACTACCATCAATTTTCAGATAGACTTCGGTTACTTCCTCTTCAAAAGACGAAGCGCGCTGGTCACATGTCACGTCCAGAAATTCACGAACCAGAATTTCTAAGCTGAATGTGTATTAAACCCCTGTCCAGGACCAGCCAGGGTACACAAACGACAATTGTTGACATACAGATTCACGTCTTATAAAAATATAAAAGATTACAAATGTAGCAGAAAAGATAAAAGCGAGCTAAGCCTGAAGACTTGACTCCTACAACGAGGCGACTCCATTCCACAGGCATCCTTGACGGCAGCGACGAAACCAACTTCTTCGAGACATCTTCAACTGAGAGGGACTTCAACTCTGGTGTGGGGAAAAGATAGCAAGACTGAGTACTACCCACTGTACTCAGCAAGTCATACCGAAAGGGAAGGTATGATGCAGGATATATCCAAGGGAGGCTAAAGGTTCTTTTGCATAAAGCTAGCATTTAAAAGCAGTAGTTGAAAGCAGTAAAATAGTTGTAGTAAGTAATCAGTATTAACCAATCACTGTCCAACGCTACACTACGTTGCAACAGGCCCAACCAACCACCTGAACTACACCAGTTCATTACCTAACTAGGGGTGAGACTAATCACGGTGAATCTGGTCGACCGCCCATAACCACGGGCACGGCTATTCGAATAGTTTTACTCTGATCAGAGGTGTACAACTGTACCCACAAGACACAGCCCCACGACACATTTTCGTGCGCCGACATATCACCACGACATACCGGAAAGAGGCCGTGACAGGACCCTTCGCATAACCCCCTCTAACCGATCGCACCACACCTTAGGGTTCGCCCCCGTCCCCAGTAGGCAACGGGCAGCCCCCCTTTCGTGTCGCGGTGAATCCGGAAGCCGATCAACCGGACACCCCGGCCGACCCAACTCCATCACGCCCACCCTCGCCTGGGTACGTCGGCTAGAGGAAGCTACACTACAAGCCCAGCCATTGTCCACGCTGGCTTGTGGTAAGTACGATAACTTCTTCCAGGGCATCCCGCGAACCGGTCCTTAATTGCCATGGGTGCGACTAGCAAAACCATGCACCCACAGCCCACCATGTAGTGTATTTTAATTAACTAACACCCTGGCGGTGGCACTAATCCAAAGCTATGCCAATAATCGAAGTCTATGCTTTAATGTGATCCCCCTTTGTGTACTAGTTGAACTAAGCATGGCTAAGCATTTCCTAAACCAATATCTAGTCATTTTAATACCCAAGTTATCAATGGCATAAGGTAAACAATATATGGCTGAGTAGTAGGAACCATCCCACATAATATTATAAAACAATGCAACATTTAATAGAAATGCAGGACATTTGTAAATTGGGTACAATATGATCAATCGTAATGCATGACTTGCCTTACTCTCGCACTGATGAGACCATAACAATGCCTTCGAGAAACTGCAGATCGACGAAACAGCCGAAATCTACGCGACAAACAAAGCACACAAGCAAAACAGGCTATAAGACTACTGAAATAGGAAACAAAACCATTTTTAATGGATTCTATGTATTTTTATGAATTTACTGAGACTTGAATGAACTTAATCGGAGCTCGGATGAATTAGATATGATTTTTAGAATATTATCTGTGTTTTTACTAATAAAGAAAAAGCCTTAATGTATTTATTGCGCAATATGTCCCAGGGCTAACGTCACCCAAGGGGGGGGCGGTGCCGACAGGCAGGACCCACGGGTCATAGGCACAAGGGAGAGGGAGGGGGTACTGGCAGGCGGGCGCCACCGGCAACGGCTCCAAAAGGGGGGTTGGCATCTGCCGGGCTCGGCTCGGCTCCAAGCCGGCCGGCCGGCTACGGCGAGCGGCGGCGGTGCACGGTCGCCGGCAACAGCAACCAACGGCAGTGAATGGCGCGGAAGGCGGTGGCGGCGGCCGAAGGCAAGGACGCGTGTGCGGTGGATGGCAGCGGACACGGGAGGGAGAGAAAGAGGGAGGAGAGGGAGTTCTCACCGAGGGGTTCGGCCGGCCGGAGGGAGGCGACGACGAACGGCGACGATGAGCGACCGAGAGATGGCGGCGAGGGGCGGACGAGCTCTGGAACCACCTAGGGAACACAATGGGAGGGATTAGAGGGAGAAAGGTGGTCCACGGTGAGCGGAAAACAAAGCCGAAGGCGGCGGCAATGGTGGAAGCTCACCGGAATGCGAGGAGATGCGGGCTCCGGCGACGGGTTTGGCCAGGCGGACAGCGGACGCGGCGGCTCGCCGGATGGCGAACGCGGCGGCGTCGATGGTGAGGCTCGGCGCGGTGGCTAGCGGCAGCCGGAGCACGGCCGGAGGGCGGCGGCGATGGGTGTAGCGGCGCGGGAGAGAGCGGCGGAAAGAGGAAAAAGGTGGAGGGGAGTGCGGGGGAGCTTTATTGGGGCTCGGGAGTGGCGGACGTGGCTAGGGTGCTCCTGATTTCGCTGGCGACGTGGGAGAGTGGGGAGAGAGAGTTGGGGGGGATTCAAAATTCAAATCCGCCCCTTGTGGGCACGCGGCGTGGGCGGGAAGGCGAGGGCGGCGTCGCGACGACGTGGGCACGGGTAAGGCGGACGGCGGAGTGGGCGCGGGATGCGGAGTGGAGGAGGTGAGGCGCCAGTGGCGTGGGCAGTTGGAGCTCCGACTCCAACGGCCGGAGGAGGAAGAAGGGGCCGACAGGTGGGCCCTACCTGTTGGTGACCCGGAGAGAGGAGGGAGGGAGACGTGGGCCGGCCCTGCAAGGAGGAGGGTGGCGTGGGAGGAGATGGGCCGACGGCCCAACAAGAGAGAAAAAGGAGGAAAAGAAAAAGAAAAAAAAGAAAAGGAATTTCCCTGGGATTAAATATTGCACTTTGCTTATTTTAATTGGTTAAAATTATTTCCAAGGCTCTGAAAATTCCACTAAAAATCCTGTTAGCATATTTTGACATGTAGAATCCAAGAAAAATTCCATATACCGGTTCCGATTATTATTTGCATTTATTAATTAAGGATTCACTCTAGGTTAAAATAAATCATTTCTTTGGACGATTTATTTTATGAATTTTAAAGCAAGGAGGGGAACTTCAGGGCGTGACATCACATTCTCCACTACCACATTTTGACTCCTCAACTCCCATGCCATGTCAATTTTCCAATAAACAATGGGTTTTATCTCGCTATGCTCTCCCTACTTTTCCATCCTACCTTTATCCACTCTCTCTAGCCACGGCCATTTATCCACTCTCTCTAGCCATGGCCATTTATCCCACCAACGAGGAGTAGGAAAACAACAGTAGGAGCAGCTCTCACAGCGACATAACCCCGTCATCGCTTGCATCATTGCTAGGCAAAACACCTAATGATGAAGTGGACAATGATTTTGAGCACTGGTATACAGCAGGTCCCCTCAAAATAAAAACTTCGACGATGACCCGCTAGCAGAGGAGTACTCCCGTAATGACGACAAGAGTAGCAACAAAGCTAATGACAATGACGGGGGCCATAGATCGCCCGAGGACCATGTGAAGGCCAGGGTCAAGGAGAATGCCTCGATCCCTGTGGACGCAGCGGCGGCAGGTTGCGGAGGTGAAATGCCAGAGTCAACCCCAACGCTCCCGAGGAGCAAGAGGCAGGCCCTACGTGGCGGCCGGTGTTGCAGGAGGTGAGTGCCTACGTGACCGTGGCAACGCTGGAGGCCAAGCCGTCGTCTAGCTGGGAGGAGGCTCCGACCAAATCGGAGCTGGAGGAGAAGGCACCACACCAGCCCCCATCTTCGACCCCGGAACAGGGCCAGCCAACAGAACCCCGGTACAGGCCCCTAGTGTGTGCTCTAGCACGGGGCCGACCCTGAGCGCCTGCTTGACGACGGTGGTGGAAGCCAAAAGAGAATTAGCCCCACCGCAACTAATTAGATGTAGTTTATAGTTTTTCTAGACTAGTGTTCGACAAGTGAGCCCGAGTAGAATTTTGTTAAGGGAAAATACATTTTTTAATATATTACCAAGAAGTATTACCTCAGAGTATAACGAGTGGATCCAATTAACATTGTGCAAATTAAATTATATATTAAGTCTACTGATGAAATTAATATATGTGGAATTTAAATCATTTATGCAAATTGATATATGTTATATATCTTGTGTCCTGCAATATAGCATCTAGAGGGGTTGTTTGTACAAATATGGATTCTCACTAACAAATGGCCCCGCAGAAAAGTGGCTTCTCAGTGAGCCGTTAATTGGATCCATGCTACTACAAATATGCCAGTTTAGATAAATACCACTGCTATTCACGATATCAGCTACGTGCCACTAGAATTTGGGGAAACTAGAACCGTACCGTCCCGTTGCGTTTTCCGTTAAAAATCTCCGTTAGCCTCAATTGCACGTGAGGAAGAAAGAAGAGGGAGTAGGGATGGCAATTGTGCCCGTTTGTCCGTTTACCCGTGGGTAAAAACCCTATTAGGATTGGGTTTGTTCTCCATTTTATACCCATGGGTATTTTATTGGGTTAAAAGCTATGCCCGATGGGTAAATGGGCATGGGTATGGGTAATCACTACCCATGCCCGCTTTGCCCGTTTACCCGCGAAATCTAACTTACATGTAGGCTAGAAGCAAAATCCACTAGAATACATAAGCCACGTTCTTTGTTTTCTACGGTTTCCCTTTTATTTCCCTTATTATCTCTCCCTCTTACTCTGTCGCCGTCAAAGGAGAGACACCACACCGAGGCAGAGAATATTTGATGTTTTAAGTTCGATATCGAACTTAGAAGGTTGTAGACTTTTTGTTCCACTACTTTTGTTGTGGCGGGTAAACGGGCACGCCCGCGGGCACAAGACGCCCGCGGGCGATGGGCATGGGCAACCATCCTTACCCGTCATGTAGTAATGGGTATACCCACGGGCAAAAATAATCTCATGGGCACGGGTATGGGTAGGCACTACCCGTACCCGTCGCGCCCGATTGCCATCCCTAAGAGGGAGGATGGTGGAAGATGGAACTGACATGTGGGTCCCACGTCTATTGGTCTGATGGAAAACAAGACGGAGTGGCTGTGGGGGTACCCGGTTTGAGTACGGTATCCCGAAACCACCCGCGACCGTTCAGGATTTCGATCGCGCACAAATTGATAAACAGAACAGCTTTCGATATATATACCCAAGTTTTTACAGAAATTATTACATAAAAGATAACTAAGACAGGTTTTAGGGGCCAACAGGCCAAACACACTCCCTACAAACAAAAGACCCAAACACAAAATAGGATAAAAACACCACAGGCAATGCTTGAGAGCAGATCGACCTAGAACATGAACTCGTTAGCACCGTAGAATTCCTCCCCTTCATGCACCTCCTCGGGGAAGGATTGATTGCCTGAACCACATTTTATGCAAGAGGTGAGTACCGAGGTACCTAGCAAGCCACACCCATAATAATACAAATAGAATATATGCAAGGCGTACAAAGAATATAGTTCATCAAGGAGGTTTCATAACAAGCCTATTATAAATAGTTTTTCCCTACTTTATCAAACATTTTATTCACAAACAACTGTAAATCATCATTTTAAAATGGTAGCAATATTAATCACCATTCATCCTCATCTTCATCATATTCCATATTTTAATTTAAAATCTACTCATACCATGATAAATAGGAATCACCCAATGACATAGCTTCTTAACCGGAAGCATGGCACATTCGAATGATTTAAGACTCATCTCTGCAGAGACTGCTCAGCTTTACCCACCTGATGTCAACAGCTAGCTAGGCTGAGGACAACATAGCCATTCGAGAGTCCCACTTACTACTAGTTACTGCCCAGTGGGATATTGATCCGTCCTAGCAGTCGGGCACTTGCTAGGCCTAAGCAAGGCTAGACGGTCGCTGCTTTCACGGGTTCCACCGTCGTGGATCATGTTAACCTGGCCGAAGCCCCTTCCACATGTCCACCCCAAACCTGCTCATAAAGCCGCCCTACAGTCTTTCATATAGTGGGACAATGTACTAGGCTATGTCTGATTACTCAGTTCTGTGGATGGGCGCAAATTACATCATTTTCCATGGCATAAGAGGGTAGTCCTTATATCCGGGGAAAGCCACCAAAACTAGCACAGGCCCGTGCATACTTCAAGTGTAATATACACATTCCACAAAATAATTATAACAATATGCACGGCCTCACACACCACAACATCCATCTTCACCCAGAATTAATCTTTCATATCACTCCAGGCGAGTGACTCATATCAAATAACACATTTTATATCACCCGACACGCCACCACGTGACGACGGGTAAACCATGTATGTGAGTATAGATATTTGGTGGTCTTATCCACTAGAATATTGTTGTGAAGTATATAAATCTACACCTAGGTTATCAAAGGGCGTGATATAGCAATCCATGGATTTGGCCAATAATAACAATGTAACAATGGGTAATAACTAAACTAACAAGTTTATTCGAAAATAATTCTTAAGCAAAATAGTTTTATAAATACTCAATGCATAAAATAACTAAGTGGTTCTCTACTAGGTTTCAATATGATCAAAGATTGGAAATTGTGGCTTGCCTTGTGGAACATGGCCTTCGGAAGCTTCAGCGTATCCTTCTAGGCCCACTTCAGTTCCTGTGAGTCCGGTGGGATCTTCAACGCTATCTAACGTACGCACACGAAGAAACGACCAAATAAGCCTATAATAAAAATACTACAAATAAACGATAAAATAAATATTATGAATCGGAGCGAGAACAAAAGAAAATGGTAAATCAAGAGTTAATTGACTTGGATGTCAAACGATTTATCCTAGGGTTATGATCGATAGCATGTGTTTTAGTGGTTGCACTTTGGGATTATTGTTGTTACAGATACTAGAATTGATTTGGTTTGAATCTGGAGGTGAACTGATGGAAGAATTGATATGAATCGGTTTTGTTTTGGTTAACAACTACCTGGGTTGGCTCAGGTGGTGTGGTCAGGCTGGACCATGGTGGAACAGTATTGAATCTAGTACTGTTCTTCTTCCACTGTGAACCACGAACACAGACAGAGAGATAAAAAGAGAAAAGTTGGATGACGGTTATCGTGGCGGAACAGTAAGAACGTCTTGAGGTAATTTCGTCCCCAGGTGCTGCGAACTCGAAGCTGTTGCTGGTTCTCTGAGAGGATGTTCATGCTGGCCGGAACGCGAATTCCAGATCTGGAGCTATGGTGACACCGGGCATGGAAGTGGCAGCTCCGGTGACGAACGCGGGCGGGTGAGCGCGTCAAAACGTGTTCCCGGATGAGAAGGTTCCATTTTTTGGTTAGTTGATAGAGATGAAACGTTGGAAAAAAAAACTGACCACGGTGGTAGCCATGGTGACGGACAGGAGCACGATGGGACCTCAGTACAAGCATGGAGAGGAGGGGAAAAACAAGGAGATGGCCTCACCGGCTCTGGAAGAGTCTGGTGGCGCGAGGAGACGACGACCGGTGGCCTGCAGCGACAGATCGGCCGACGACCACGGCAGTTTGAAGAAATTTTGGGAACTCGATTCCTTTCTGAGTAAAGGAGAAAGAGAGGGGAAAAAGGATGAGCATGGCTACCTTGCCTGCTTAAATAGTTGGGTAGTGGGAGATTGAGATTGACGGTAGCAGTGGTGCTTGCTCGGTTTTTAAGATTTGTGCGACAACGTCTACACCATCTGATCGAGTTCCTCGGTGCGGCTTCGAGCGAGCGTGTGCCGCGCGCGTGGCGACATGCGGCGCAGAGCAGGCAGGTACAAGGCGGCACGCGGCTAGTGCGGGCCAAGCGCGTGCGGGCGCAAGCAAGGCGCAGGGTGGCGCGAGGCGACGCGCGCGTAGTGCGAGCGGTGGCTGGACCGGGTGAGGCTAATACGCGAACGTTCGCGGATCACGAACATGCTCAGACCTTTAGTATCATTCAGTTCGTGCTTATATGCTCTTAATTAGCAGCACGATTTGTAAGCGCATCGCATACACACATCTTGCAACTAGATAAGAACTAGAGTACTAGCATGTAGGCATACATGCCGACACTTTAATTAGCTAGCATGTACTTAGGGTATAGTTATCTGCATATGTCGATGGTATGTACATATTTTGCTACCGAAAAAATCAGTGTGATGTTTATAATTAAAGCATTGATTACCACATAATTAATGTGTAACTAAGGTATACATAATTTTTTATTTTATAGCAACATCTTCTACTCAACAATTTTTTTACCCAAATTTTTAAACTTTTCATTTAAATAAATCCTATTCAAATTACTAATATCTCTATTCACAAACTTTAACACAAAATTGAACTTTATATATGCAAACTTTATGTAGATAAACTTTTGATACACAGACTTTATATATAAAAACTTTCGTTATACAAACTTTTTATATATAGATGAATTTCAAAACAAAATTAAAATAAATTCCAAAAAAAAATAAGTTTCAATTGGGCAAAAACAAAGTAGCAAATGTGGACATGCATTGAGTGAGAATTCCCAAAAATTATCCCTCGTCTTTGTACATGTCCCGTGTAACAAATTATAAAACATAATTCACCAATGTGATTAGTCTCAAAAGTTCGGTGACTAAAGGAAACCATATACATATGACTTCCTTAATCACCGAGCTATTGAGATTAGCTCGGTGATTAAGGAAGTCATATATATGCATGCACAGTTTAGCTACAAAAGGAAATCGGTTGCATTCACACGCGTGGCACGGTCGTGTATGCCAACCTGTCGAGCCGTTCGCGAGTAGGAATTAACCCGAACGTTCGCGTATTAGTTATTTCGGGATGGACCGAGTGAAGCGAGCAGCGGTTTAGTTGGGGCGGCTGCCTCGGCTGGGCCAACAATAGTCGTGGCCTCGCACGGCCCAAACAGAGGGAGATGGGCAAAGGAGTTGAAAAGAAAAGGTGATGGGCTGGGTTAAGGTTGATTTCAGCCCAGGGAGAGATAGTGATCCATTTGAATTTTTCAAGAAATTTTTGAATAGATCTTTGGTAGGATATTTTTGAATAGGAAATCGATGAGATTGGGGATTTTAGAATATTTGCACGATGACTCCGGTATAACTTAAAATAAACACAAGCTCTTCTGATGGTTTTGGGAATTTTCTCTGGGATATCTCGAATTTGGTTTGGAGAGGGAAACTAAACAAGGTTATGTGGGAGTCGGAAACTTAGAGGGAACAAAAGAAATATAAGGATTGGGAGGCTCCAATTCGAAAGAACAAAGAACATCGACTTTAAATATTTTTGCAAAAATTTTACCCTGAAAAATCTAGTATGTTACAGTGGCACAGTTCCAATTTCCCTAAATTCCAGTGGCACGTAACCGATTTCGTGAATAGTAGTGGCATTTATCTAAAATAGCATATTTGTATGGCATTGATCCAATTAACCCTAATTTGTATACTTTTATATTCCAAATGCAGTGGATGCCTCAATTACTGATGTCGTTTTCGTACTCATCACCAAGTTGTCCATCTAACTCTAGTCAAGTGCATTTCCCAGAAAAAGGATTGGTCCAGTCAATCAAAGGTGAAAAATATGAAGAACGTATGGGTGATGAAACGAACCAAAGCTTTAGAGGTCATTGTTGCTAAGGTGAAGCCAAACGAGGTCCCAGTACCTACTGGAAATACAACAGAAATCCCACAAGCAAAGAAGACCGAAGTCGATGATTCAATTTCCGGTATTGCCGGTCCAACTAGGCTCTAAGGCTGATCTAACCAGGGAAGACCATAACCATCTAGGACGGTTTAGCATGACTCTGTGCCAACTGGGCCCTGAGGCTGGTCCGACCAGCCACCAGGCATGACCAGAATGACATTATCTGGTTCGAGATCACGTCGGTCCGACTCGGGGTGTCTAGAATGGCCTGAGACTGTGTAGTATGGCACCTGTCCTGTCTACATGGTTGGTCTGACCGAGAGGCACCCATAGCCGAAGTAGGTACTTTCCCGCTTATCCCACTCTCAGAAGAGTATGTTACAATGTCTTCAAGCCAAGCATCAACAAAACGAGGAAAAAAGTACAAAGACTTGTGGGGCGGATTGCTTGATAAATTTAAGCCTCTAATAAAAACATAGGAAAGAGTGGAGACCCAAGGTAGTAAACATTGAAAGACTGGTGATTTCCCCAAGCCATGATAAATACGATTTATTGAATGAAGAGTCATCACTGGACATAAGAGATGGTTCTAATTCACATAGCGAGAAGGATGTCAATATAGTGTTTGCATTACCTTCAAAATCGTGAAATAAATAGGAAAGCCAATTTTGCATGAAGGGACAAGGTATCAATATTTTGATGAAGAGGTTAAGAGAAGTGAATGGCAAAGAGTACATGAACACATCTCTGAGCTGTCGTTTGCTACATGTGAAGACAAGGTGTGAGTTTATTATATCTTACATTATGACATGTTTATACAAAGTTAAGGCATTGCTTGCTATCTAGAACCTGTATTTTTACTTGTCAAATCAATAATTTCAAATTGATGTCACGAAGCCAATTCTGTATGGTGGAATTGGCAAGAGAGCATATACGTCAATTAAATATGTTTTGTTTCTGTTAACGACCAAATTTGGTAAATCATAGATTGGATTTGGAGTCAAAGCCTAAGCGGATTTGGAAGGAGTTCGTTATTCTTTGAAACAGAGTGCACGTCGGCTACAGATTGCATCGGCTACTGTCTGCATCGGCTGATACCAAATCGGATAGGGAGAAGCCGATGTAGCCGATTTCGGCAGGATAATTATAGAATCATTGTCGGGATCGACTGAGGTCCTGTACAAGTATTGTCAAGTGTGGATTGAGTCCGAAGAAGGTAATTGTATCTATTAATTAGGATATTCTAGTAGTTTCTTTATAGATATGTTCGGTAAGAGTCCACCAAAGGGACTTGTTCGTGTTTTAGAGTTGTAATAAAAATAGAGTCGCGTCCGACAAGGACATATTATGTATTTTGGGTATAAATATGACCCAATACCTTGTAAACAATTAACATCAGTTCAATAACACTTTCGGTGCATCGCCACCCTTTTCTATTTTCATTGTTTCGACGAGTTCTTGCTTTCGAGTTGGGCTGCATCGGTTGTGATCTTCGACGAAAAGGTAAAACTTGTTATGGCAGCTTGCGTTCTCGGGATTAGTGCTTACATATTTATGACACTCTAATCTTGTTTATGTAAATCGTCGAGTTATCATATATGCTATATAATCTAGATTGATACTCTTATCTAGTTTTGTCGGTATCTCTATTATCGAAATCACCCGATAGGGTTAGGTAACTTTGTCGGTTTAGATTATATAGCATATCTACCATGTCTAAAAGGTTTTCATTGGCTTATTCATTAGATATTATGTTTCTCCTTAATGCTTAATGCTACATCAGTTAAGTTTGATCTATTAAGTAATATTTAGAACCATAATCTCTAGCTTGCTTCATGATAATTAATAGAGATAGTACCGGAGTTTCAGCCGATCTTACCTGGTTTAGCTGTCTTGTTCTTAATCTATCTACTTGATATGTTAAATCTGCCCTTTATATCAAGATCTCATTAAGATAAAATATATTAAGCTTGATATCAATATGCTTAGATTAAACTAACAATAGATTGATTCATGTTTAACATATTTAATCTATAGTGATATCTTAGTATAAAGGAGTATTGGAGCAATATCCGATACACGCTAGATTTACCAATCGGCTATGATATGATCTTATGTAATCTTTACTCTTAAGTACATTTAGACTTAAGTGATTTATACTGTGTCGGCAACTGTCCGATCTATCCCAATCACTTGGTTTAAATATAATTGGAAGTATAGATATACATCGTTGGTATCTACAGCCGGTAAACTAAATTGAATCTTTTATTCATTATATACTTCATTGCCGATCCAAATCATATTGCATCAGCTCGATTTAAACGATACGTCATCGGCAATCTAGCCGATCGGCTATCGTTTATGGATTTAACTTTGGATTCTTTGTTTGTTGTTGGTTGCAGGATCAAACCAACTAGCATGCTCTGAACCGAAAGCAAATCTTTGGACCCGCACTAGAGTAAAGCAAATCTCTCAGGCCAGTGTGTGTGTTTTTTTTTTGCATCAACAGTTTCATGAGTTTGAGAAAACCTTGAAGGGCCAAATCATATCTGTCTTGATGGCGCATCATATTTAGTCTTGCAATGAGATCAATTTTATATTGCACCATGGAAGTTTTGCTTTATAGTAATTTGACGTGTATGAAAGGCCAATGTATTGGTTTTATTATGATATTACCTAGAGATGTTAGTTTAACATTGGCCCTATTAGAATATTTTGTATCCATGCTTAAGTCAAATTGTTATGTTCATATATAGTTGTTATAACTCATAGGTGTGAGAGACTTGCTTTTGGGTGATTCATAGATCAAGTGGCTAGGAGTTTTTGTTGCCTTCATAATTATTTTTGAATAGTCACTTGAATAAATATCTAGTCATATTAGTATCTTTGGATATTACAATTTTTCGTATGTCTAGAAAATATATGTTATCTAAACATTTGACACAATAAGCATCTGGTTACAACGATAGGAAAGGCAATATTTGTGTATTGCAAAGGTGATACTTCATTAGAAAGTGTGAGAG